AAATTGGGCGAAGCCGCGAGTCAAAATGCAGCCCCGCAGCTTCGGGTGTGAAATTGACCAATAGTATCGGGGCAAGCGGCAGCGCAACATCGAGGCAGCTCTAGTGCGAAATCAGCCTCTGTCTCTCAGTGTAGTCTACAGTTCTGTTGCAAAGAGAAAATGGAGGAGGGAAGAACCCTCTGAGCTCACTGGAGGAGGAAGAGCAGGATGAAAACATGGAAGACAGATGGGCTCTAGTACCCTATAGACATTTATGTGGGAAGGAGGCACATTGCTGTCCCGCCCACTGGGTTCCTTAAAAAACACAGAGTGACCTAATAAATTGTGACAAGGAACGCGGCTCCCGCAGGACTGCAGACACATCAAGGTCCTGGTCACACGAGCGGGATGATCCGCTGCCGAAGGGAGGCAAATTAGAGCCGGAGCAAAAAGAACCGCAGGAGTGCGATCTGACGTGCCCCCGCGGCTCCGTGCTCCGGCAGCCGATCACACATTGTGCAGCAAACTGGCGGTAGCGCAGTTGTGCGCATGCGTGGGATGGGGAACGGCGCTGGCTGCGACGGGCTACCAGCACTTCCCCAACCAGATGCCTGGAGTTCCCGCGCATCATCCGGAAGGTAGTGCTCTGTTGCTAGTACCTTTTAAATGCGCGTTTTCGGGCCGAAGGGCCAGATCGGGGATGAGTGCATGACGCTTCCCAGATGTTGCAGTGTGATTGCTCCCACTTGATGTGCCCCCGATCCGTCCCTCTTGCGGGGCAAATCCTCCCGTGTTACCGGGGCCCAAATTGGCCTTTATGATGTTTGATTCACTTTTACAAAGAAGTATACAATGTGACATTTCCAACAGACTGAGGCTGCGGTCACACGGAGCATTAGCCACGCTACAGAGACGGAAGATAGGCGGATTTTCTGGGCGCGATCACACGATCTGGGCGCGATCTGGGAAGCGTAGAGCTCCCGTGGCGAATCTGAAGCTTCCCGCCAAAGATGCGGAGTTAAAAACTAGTACCTCAGAGGTACTAGTTTCCGGAAACTGCGGGGCAAGGGCTGGCGTCTGATCGCGTTTCCGGTGGTGGCATCCAGCGCTCGCCCATGTCCCTTCACAAACAGGGTTCCCCCCACCCCAAGTCTCCACAAGATGCGCACAAGCACCCAATGGCACATGCGCACAAAGAGAAAAGCGAAAGTGCCGTTTCGACTTTAAAAAAAATGACCCCGTTTGTCACGGCAGCGGCGCCGAGCCTTTGCTGGTGTGATCGCGCCGTGCCGCTTCTTTGCCACGCTGCAGGATCGTCGTGTGATCGCCACCCTCGTTTACCCGCCGGGTCCAAGGGAAGGACCCGTGGTGTGCCGCCGGCGCGTCTGATCGTGTAATCGCGGATCAAACTGCGCCGGGGCAATTAGCCACGCCTCCCCCCTGCGATATCCGGCCCATGTGACCGGGGCCTGAGAATAGTAATCACAATCAAGGACCCTGAGAGCAGAATTTGGTAGCTAACCCTTCATTGAGTCTAGATTCAGGTGGGGTAGCCGCGTTGGCCTGAAGCAACAGAACGAAGTTTGAAGCCAGCAGCACCTTTATGTCCAACAAAGTTTAATTCTGGGTACAAGCTCTCGTGCGCAGGCGCACGTTACCCAGAATTAAACTTTGTTGGTCTTAAAGGGTGCCACTGGACTCAAACTTCCTTCATGAGTCCGATTCTCAGCCTTATTTCAGGCACCTAATTCTGCCCACTGTGCCCCAAACCCACCCTTTCCCACCCGCCACTGTAGCTCCCAGAAGAGAGAAACTATTACCTCTTCCACTTTTTTGGTATAATTTTGACTTTCTGAGTTGGCCGTCACCAAGTGATTTTCCAGCTGTGCTTCCAAAAGGGATGTGTACTCTTTTAACTGTTGTGACCAGAAACAGAACAACATTTTTTTTTCATATTTGAACACTAGAAAGATACCGCTTGCATTCTGTTAGTATCAACATGTTCTTGGTTCCCAGGTACCTCCCCTCTCCCACAAGTGATTTTGAACTTCCCCAGTTCCACATTCCCTCCAGTCTATGGTTCTCCTTGTTCTATGCTAGAGTGCTAACTGCCATTCCAAGGGTGAGAGGTAAAATATCCCATTTTCAATTTTTTCTGGACATCTGTAATTTTGTAATGTGTGTGGAGAGCCATGGTTCTAATCTTAGACCACTGCACCTGAAATCGATGTTTCCTCGGAGTCATTTTCAAGCCAAAACCAGAGCAGTTCTATATTACAATTCCAGAATCAACAGGTTTTTGAGCTTTTAACTGCACACAAACCCTCAAACTGCTTTTGTAAACACGGCAAGGATATGAACAAAGTCCTATTCACAATCTGGCAGAAGAATCCAGCTGCCTCGGGACTCCGGCACTCCCTTCGGGATTGTGAAATGCCCCCCATACCTTGCTTGTGTTCTGGAGTTCCACCTTGAGCTTCTCCACATCTTCTTCAAGGCACTTCATTTGGTTCTGGGACTAAACAAAGCACCCCACCACCAAGGATCAGAAATCAGAGAATCGGTGCACGGGATCTCAAGTCCTAGAGAAAAATTTCTCTGCGCACAGACACACACACACACCCTATCTAGAATTCTCGTTATATTTATTGCACTCCAGAAAGCTACGAAATCATGTACACTGCTCTTGTAAACGATCACCTGAATATTAAGTTTCATTTATTTAAAAAATGTATATACTGCCTCTCCGGAGGCCAGCTCAAGGCAGCTCACATCTGAATTAATACAACAGAACCAGACAAACCACTAAAGCCAGGGCATTAAAAAAATGCTCAGCAGCCTAAAATTACCTTAATTAAATTGTTGCCAGGCTAGAAACAGACTATAAAACAGCTAAAAAAGATGGAACACTGAGACATCCTTCAAGTGATGTACCAATCCCCTGCCACCAAGCTCTGAATGGGCAGAGGCTTAGTAACAACCAATCAGGCGGGAGAGTGTTAAAATGAGGAGGAGGGGAAGAACTGGGAGCTAGCTGTCAACTCCAACAGTGGCTATTTAGGGAGATAAAAAGGGTTTGACCATGGAGGAGATCTGCAGGTCTGGCTCATAGAGAGCAGGCAGGTTGATTGTTTAAGATGGCTAAAGAAAAGTGATCTTAATTGGGAGGGAGTCTGTCTTCAAGGAGAAGTAGATGATTTACCCCCGGTATTGCTATGACTGGAATGTCTTGCTGATTGGATCAACTCTTTAAAGTTGCTTTTGTTCTATGGGGTTTCACTGAAGTAGGTGTCAGTCCAGGGTTGCCATTCTCCAGGTGGGGTCTGGAGATCCCCCAGAATTACGACTGACCTTCAGATGCCAGAGATCAGTTCCCTTGGAGAAAATGGCTGCTTTGGAAGATACGGGGATGCCAGCCTCCAGGTGGGACCTGGGGATCCCACAGAACTACAGCTCATCTCCAGGCTACCCGCCGGGTCCAAGGGAAGGACCCGTGGTGATCAGTTCCCCTGGAGAAAGTGGATGCTTTGGAGGGTGGACTCCAAATCTCCAGGAGTTTCCCAATCTGGAGCTGGCATAGGGTTGCCAAGTTGAAATATCTCCTTACCGGGGGACTCCCACTCCGTGGCCGGAAGTGACGTGACGACGCCAGGCATGCTGGGGGCGGGGCCACGACCATCCAAGGGAAAACTATAGAGTTTCCCCTCAGATGACCGTGGCGCCGCCCCCAGCGTGCCCGGCGTGGTCGCGTCACTTCCGGGTGACGCGCACGTCAGGGTGGGGTTCCCCCCAGGGCCCAATCCGCCGGTGGCGGGGAACGGGCCTCTGGGGTGGGGGTTAGACTTGGGAAGCCTAAGCTGGCAGCCCTTCCCTGCCTAGTATAAATGCCACAGGGCCAAGCAGCAGTTCCTCAGAACAACCTTCTGGGAACAATCAGTGAAGTAAGAGTGCAACCATTCAAGCACGGTACTCCCTACTTCCAACCTGGCTAGCCTATCCAGAAGGGTATCTTGGTTGATGGTATCGAAAGCTGTTAAGACGTCCAGGAGAGGTCACTCTCCTGGCCAGATGTCATCAGTCAGGGCAACCAAGGATGTTTTCTCCCAAACTAGGCCTGAATCTGGACCAAAATGGGTCTAGATAATCTGTCTCCTCCAAGACATCTATTGACATGTATGTCTAGGTTGTGATGGTAGAAAGCTGTTACTGAGTGTAGATCAGAATGATCTAGTGTATAAGTCATGGCTGTCATGCTGAATGGTTAATGATCTTACATCCAGGTGTTAACCTACCAGGTGCTACTCTTTGTCCTAGTTAAGAGTAGGTAATTAGTCTGCCCTGTTAGTGATTGGATGGGATCTGTATATATACTGTAAGCTTGATAAGCTGGGTTGGGAGACTTGGCTCTCTCCAAGGTATGTTATGCTGTGCAACAGTCTGTATATTCTCTGTGTAAATAGTCACCATTATCTCGCTAGTAAACTTTCTGCACCTTTCACTACCAGTTGGTCTCCGTCTTCCTTATTTACCACACCCAATAACATCCTCAAGCTGTGTAGCCACCACCTCCTTAAAACAGCTTGCCCCCAAATGGGATGCTGGCCACTGAGTGGTAGTTGTTTAAGTCATTCAAGTCCAAGGACGGACTCTTCAAGAGGGGCCTCACGACTGCCTCTTTCAAAGTGGGCGGCACTACACCCTCCTGCCGAGAGGCATTTATGACGTTCCAGATCCACTTGACCAACCTGACCCAGCTTGATATTATCAGCCACGAAGGGCAAGCTGCACTCTCCACTCCCAAAGTATTTGAGCAGGCTGCATACTGGATTGGTGCGACACCGGCTCCCTTCCTGTTTTCACACTGAGTTGAATTGTCTTCAAATCTGCTTTTCTCTCCAAGTAAAACGTTTTCCTGTACACCAGGTTCGGTGTTTTGAAGTAATATTCTACCCGTAGGTGCCTAGTCACGGGCCCTTTTTTCCTTTTCTTCTATACCTTACAGACGCACAAATTGTCAGATCTCAAATTGCTTGTCTACTCGTGTATCCTAATCTGGACTTCCAATGTGAATGGCAGCTTAGTACCATTAGCAGTACCACCTAAATATACAAAGCCGGCTTCCTTATTTACCACACCCAATAACATCCTCAAGCTGTGTAGCCACCACCTCCTTAAAACAGCTTGCCCCCAAATGGGATGCTGGCCACTGAGTGGTAGTTGTTTAAGTCATTCAAGTCCAAGGACGGACTCTTCAAGAGGGGCCTCACAGCTGCCTCTTTCAAAGTGGGCGGCACTACACCCTCCTGCCGAGAGGCATTTATGACATTCCAGATCCACTTGACCAACCTGACCCAGCTTGATATTATCAGCCACGAAGGGCAAGCGGCACTCTCCACTCCCAAAGTATTTGAGCAGGCTGCATACTGGATTGGTGCGACACCGGCTCCCTTCCTGTTTTCACACTGAGTCGAATTGTCTTCAAATCTGCTTTTCTCTCCAAGTAAAACGTTTTGCTGTACACAAGGTTCGGTGTTTTTAAGTAATATTCTACCCATAGGTGCCTAGTCACGGGCCCTTTTTCCCTTTTCTTCTATACCTTACAGACACACAAATTGTCAGATCTCAAATTGCTTGTCTACTCGTGTACCCTATTCTGGACTTCCAATGTGAACGGCAGCTTAGCACCATTAGCGGTACCACCTAAATACACAAAGTAGTAATCTAGCTTTTGAATTTCACATAACTTGTCTCAGGCTGATTGGGGGGGGATAAGGGGGTAAATGGGGTGGAAGCAGGGCTATTTTGGGGCAGGAACGCACAGGAACGGAGTTCCGGCTGGCTCCTGAGTTGGCCACGCCCAGCAGGAACTCATTAGCATAATAGGCCACACCCAACAGCAGAAACTCATTAGGATTGGCTACATTAGGGGTGTGTGGCCTAACATGCAAAGGAGTTCCTGCTACAAAAAAGGCCCTGGGTTTTGGCAACAAACAAGGTAAACAGAATAACAAGCAAAAGGTGGGTGTGGCTGGATGACCACACTTCTGGTAACATGGGGGTGCGGCCTAATGTGCTAATGAGCTGTGCTGTCAGGGGTGTGGCCCAATATGCTAACGAGTTCCTGCTGTTGGGTGTGGCCTATTATGCTAATGAGTTCCTGCTGGACTTTTTCTACAAAAAGAGCCCTGGCGTGGAAGCATCACTGGTACGGGACAGTCTGAACAGGGTCATTCAGGAAACTCTTTGCAGATTCACTAAGTTAATGTGTGCCCAGTGGGAAAGCTCTCAGGTCACATCAGACCACTGCGGGACAAAGCACCACAGGGCGCACCCTCTGCCTTGGAAAATATAAGTCAGCTCTGTCTCCCACACCAATCAAAACACAAGGGCCTCATAGAAAGCAGAAGTAAAGACAAATGCACTAGTCCTTATATTATTAAGGCTGGAGATTAATTTAGATGAAGCAACCTATAGCCAGTGTAACCTAGTGTTTGGAAGGTATGTCATTTCCCCCTTAGATCAGTAGATGGAGGCAGACCATTTTCTTCTTAATTCAAATGACCAGGGGTCATTTTGTAGAAAAAGAGGTGCAGGAGCTCATTAGCATAACTCATTAGCATAACTTATTTAGCTAGCAATCACCGGAAGTGTGTCAGAAGGCCACACCCACCGCTCAGACTCCACTGGACTGTTTTGGATTGCTAGCTATGGGGGGGGGGGACGTGCAGATCTGTCCTCGCAGAGGAGGGAGAGCTTGTACCTGAATAAAACTTGGTCTTAAAGGTGCCACTGGACTGTTTTGGACCGGGGGGGAGGGGGCTCTGCAGTTTACCTGGCTGCTTCTTGCTCTGACTGAGGGCTGCTGGGAGCAGGGGGTGGGGCTTATTGCATGTGCCCGCCCCCTGGGCTCTTTACTGCCGGAGCTCCGCTCCTGTGAGCTCCTGCAGGAAATGACCCCTGCAAATGACAATCAGCCTGACAAAACTACTTGCAGAGCTGACAATTCACATACACACATTCAAGCAAGTACCTTCTGAAGTGCCTCTTCAGATGCAGTCAGCTTGGCTTTCCACACCTGCTCCTCCTCCTCCACGCTCTTCTGCAAGTCCTTGAGCATCCTTTCCTAACAGTGGAGAATGGAATGAAAGGGAACAGGAAGATGCCAAATATTCCACAGACCACACAAAGGGCTGCAGCGCAGGAAGCACCATGTGGCTTGGGGTGCCTGCATGCAGCTTTCTGAGAATTTCAAACTTCATTTTTTTTAAAAAAGTTTCTCACTCTTGATCATGCAGATACACCTGAAAACATATTGGCCAGACACTGCCTGACCGAAACACACACACAAAAATTAGCAGTTGCTCCATAAGGTTGCATTCAAGTATCACACGTAACCGTGGTTATGGAAAAAAAGTATAAAGAAAACAGTCGTGAGTGTCTGACCCACAAATCAAGCAGTCAACAAGACTTGCAAAGAAAATGCTTACTATGTATTACAGTCTGTGAGACGCCTAGGATCCATTAGCTTAGCAGCATATCTGAGCCTGAACATTTACTGAGATCAGCGTCCTATCTGAATGTATTATCTTTCATGACTTGTTGTAAAGCACTTTATGAACAAGAGAACTTTTGTACCACTCTAGCATTTCCTGAGGAAGATCCAATTTTGAAACGTTGTTATATAATCCGGAGACGACGTTGATGATGTACCTTGGCACTAGGATTTTCTTATGATTTGTAGGAATTGATTTATTGTGTTGTAGCGCTTCAGACTGTAATACATAGTAAGCATTTTCTTTGCAAGTCTTGTTGACTGCTTGATTTGTGGGTTAGACACTCACGACTGTTTTCTTTATACTTGTTCTCTGATTAGGTTGTGTTTGTCCACATTTGTCTCGTTATGGGGAAAAAGGGCATGAGGCTGGCTCTTACTGGACTTGCACTTTTTCTGCTCTTACTGAGAACTGTGGCTGAACACTGATAACCCATGACGTATGAATGCAGGCATGCAGGTTAGCCAGACTTAGCCAGCTGGCTTGGGGCAGGGAGTGTGTGGGGAATAGCTTCAAGCAACCCATGTGTGAACCCAGTGTTCTGCAGAGGTGAAAAAGGCAAACTCTATGTTAGGGATTATTAGGAAAGGGACTGAGAATAAAACGGCCACAAGCTGAACTGCAGGCTGTGGAAGGTCAGTAGTTCAGCAGTTCGAGACCCGAGTGTGCCGCATGACAGAGTGAGCTCCCATCTCTAGTTCCAGCTCCTGGCAACCTAGCAGTTCGAAAGCAAGAAATTGCAAGTAGATAAATAGGTACCACTTTGGTGGGAAGGTAACAGCATTCCATGCGCCTTGGCGTTTAGTCATGCCGGCCACATGACCATGGAAACGTCTTCGGACAGCGCTGGCTCTTCGGCTTTGAAACGGAGATGAGCACCGCAACCCTAGAGTCGGACTCGACTGGCTTTCGAGCAAGGGAACCTTTACCTTTACTTACAGATCTATGATGCAGCTTCATTTGGAATACTGTGCGCAGTTCAGGTCTCCATATTTCAGAAAGGACATTGCAGAGCTGGAAAAAGTACCGAAGAGGGCAACCAAAATGATTAGGATATTGGAGCACCTTCCGTATGAGGAAAGGCTGAAGAGTCTGGGACTTTTCCGTTTAGAAAAGAGACGACTAAGGGGGACATGATAGAGGTTTATAAAATTATGCATGGTGCGGAGAGTTGACAAAGAGAAATTTCCCCCTCTCTCCCAAAATATTAGAACTCAAGGGCATCCAATGAAGCTGATGGGCAGCAAGTTCAGAAAGGACAAAATGAAATAATGTTTTACACAGAGAATGATTAAAACATGGAATTCCCTGCTGGAGGATGTAGTGAGGGCCACAGGAATAAACAGCTTTAAAAGGAGATTAGATAGGTTCCTGGAGGATGTCTATGAATGGCTACTAGCCATGGTGGCTGAGGGGGAACTTCCACATTCAGAGGCACTAAGTCTCTGAATCCCAGAGCCAGGAGGCAACATTTGGGGAAGGCCTCAGCCTCTATGCCCTGTTGTTGGCCCTCCAGAGGAACTGGTTGGCAACTGTGTGAGATGGGATGCTAGAATATATGTACCACTGGTCCGATCCAGCAGGGCTCTTATGTTCTTATTAGGAATAAGGCCCGCTGTGGAAATAAATACGACGAGCTCTAGAAAGAGGCTCTGGGCGGGTGCCCTGGCCTTGGGCACTCAGCGTCAATTTGCTGTGGCGACCTCAGCAGGGTATAATGACACAGAACCCACCATTTTCTCCAGGGCAACTGATCTCTGCCATCTGGAAAGCAGTTGTAATTCTGAGTGATCTCTAGCCCTCACCTGGAAATTAGCAACAATGGTTTTCCAGGAGGAAATGGCTGGTTTGGAGGGTGGAGTCTATGGCATTGTACCTGTCTGAGGTCCCACCCCTCCGCAAACCCCACCGTCTCCATGCTCCATCCCTCAAATCTCCAGGAATTTCCCAACCTGGAGGTGGCAACCGTCTCTCCTTCCCAACCAACTATCAACCTACCTTTATCTGCCCCTCTGACTTCAGCTTTCCACACACACCCCGCTGCAGCCTCTACCTAGGGAGACTACAGTCTTTCTCCGCAGTGGGGACCCAAGCAGGAGGGAAGCGACCTCAGCAGGGTATAATGACACACAGTCCTCCGTGCAAAGCAGCCATTTTCTCCAGGGGAACTGATCTCTACCATCTGGAGAGTAGTTTTAGCTCTGACTGATCTCCAGCCCTCACTTGGAGGTTGACAGCAATGGTCCCCCAGGAGGAAATGGTGGAGTCTATGGCATTGTACCTGTCTGAGGTTCCACCCCTCCTCAGGCTCCACCCCTCAAATCTCCAGGAATTTCCCAACCTGGAGTTGGCAACCCTATTTCCTTCTGAAGTGTGTGGGTCACACGTGCCATTAGGGACTACAGCCAGCTGATGGGATACAGAGAACTCCTGCACAATTGGAAGGCCCGATTTCTGCAGACTCCCCCTTCCACATACAGTCTCCCTGCACCAAACTTACACAGTCTGGGGGCTCTTCAAGAGATGCAAATGGCAGAAGAAGGAAGAAGGAGGAATAAAAAGCCAGCTGCACAAGTGGAACTCTGCTTGAACGTCTCGGGATCCTCCCTTATGTATTCAAACTGAGTAGCACACGAGTTGACTCACCGTCTCGGCAAGAATGATCCTATACTGATCACATTCTGCTTGCAGGGTGTGCCGTGCCTCATCTGCCTCTCGTAATGAAAGCTCCAGATCCTAAAAGGAAATGTCATAAATTTGGAAGGAATCTCCTTGCAGCCCTTCCCTGGAGCCGAATAACTCACAGGAGCATTTATTAGAGCGGAAAGGTGCCCAGAAGGCCCCTCAGTACAAGTCCTTGAGTCGAATTAGAGCATTTACCCTCCCAACCGCCACATGCCACCTCTGCAATACACAGCTCGGCATGCCAAGCTAAAGGACAGACACAGTATTAAATTATACCAACAGAACAAATAACTCTGGAGAATCTGTAGGTGAACCAAGCCACGTTCTTTCCATTCAGTCACATCAGGCCTCTCTATGAATGTATCTAAAAACTGCTGGAAGTGTAAAAATAATGTAGGCACCTTCTATCACATGTGTTGGAGATGCCAAAAGTCCCAGCGATTCTGGCAGAGGGTACACAAGATACTAGCAGATATGTACAAAGTAGAACTGCCTTTTAGACCAGAAATTTTTCTGTTAAATATATTTCCAGATAAGTTGAAAAATGAACAAAAATATTCTATGGGCTGTATTATTGTCTCTTGATTATTCCAATTCTTGGTACCCTGTTTCAAATGGTATGGCTCAAAACAAAGACCATTTTGATCAGAATTGTGTTACAGATGTTTTACTATGGCCCCTGCCACACGGCAGGGGAAAAGCCTCTTAAGGCGCGGCTTTTAAAAGCCGCGCCAACGTTGAGACGCCGCGGCGGGATCCCATGGATCCCCTGGCCGTGGCGCCTTTTCTCCCCGGCGCGATCAAACCCTTCAGCTGCATCACGTAATCGATTAAAGAGGCACATACATCACGGTGGTCTATCAAGATCAATGTTGTCAATAGACGGTCAGCATTACTGAACTGGCAGCAGCCCTCCAGGTCTATCACATCACCTAGAACTTGATTCTTTTAGCTTGAGGTGCTGGGGATTGAATAACTCATAGATTGCTGGGGATTGAAGGGTAAACCTTCTGCATGCCAAGCAGATGCTTTGCCACTGAGCCACAGTCAGCATTCACTTCAGTCTCTTGTGTTGTTTAACATCTACATGAAACTGCTCAAAAGGGAAATTCCTGTGCCAGACACAAGACAATTAGGTGTGTAAGTTAGGAATACGTCCAGATCTGGCATTGCTCCTGGATGCCAGCTGCTATGGTCCTCTAGAGTGACGCTCCAGCTACATCCACTACTGGAAGATGGAGACTGGCTACTTTCATTCACACTTTGGTGACATCCAGAATTGAGTACCACAGCACTGTTAATTTGGGGCTGATCTTGAAGATTCCAGAACCTTCAGGTAGTGCAAAATCTCTCTCTCTCTCTCTCTCTCTCTCTCTCGTCTCTCTCTCGTAACGTGGATTCCTACCTGGTATCCTTTCAAAGACAGCTAAAATCCGTTTCCATTTGCTTTTGGTAACAAAGTTTAGTTTATTTAACAATCTCCTTACTGTGCTTCTGTTAATTAGGGTATTTGATGATATTTTAGACTGTTTTGCTCTGTTTTTAATTTTTGTAAATTGCTTTAACAGTTCTTTTATTAAACAGCGGTTTAAAGGTAACTTCAACAAATGTAAGGAACGATCCACCCAGCTTTTCCACTAGTGAAAAAGGTAGGAAGAGTTCCCTTTGACCACCCAAAAAGTCCATGTGATGAGTTACGGGTCATGGGTGCATTCACAGTCTTCCTCTCTTGGCCTCTACACTTTTGTTGTTGTTGTTCAGTTGCACAGTCGAGTCCGACTCTTCGTGACCACGTGGACCACATCATGCCAGGCCCTCCTGTCCTCCAGAGTTTGCTCAGTCTGCTTTAACAGTTCTTTTATTAAACAGCAGTTTAAAAGTAAATTTAACAAATGTAAGGAACATTCCATACAGCTGTGGCCTGTCCGTCCTGGGTGGCCCTCATGGCATAGCCCACAGCCTCATTGGACCACGCAAGCCCCCTCGCCACATCAAGGCACTGATCCATGAGAGAGGGCGTCTACACAGAGCAGGCCAAATAGGACTTCTGCAACTTGCAGACCACCAAGCAAAGGTAGTCCAAAACAATCCTGCCCCCAGCCATTTTGCAGTCCCGGACAGGAAGGAAAAACAAGAGGTCAATCAAGCTTTTGTGGGTTCACCATAAACAGCTGGCACATGTCCACTGACCTGGTGTCCTCCTACCAGCCCAACTTAGAAACATTCGTCCTCAACAGAGGCACCAACACTAGATAGGGTATT